AATTAAAAACAACATGAACTAACATTAACAATGGACAAAATCCCCACTATCTGATCCCCGAAGGCCGCTGTAGGCTAATTCAAACCCAGACAAAGATGGGTGAAGCATTGAAATAATACTATAATGCATATAAAAAATTATGAATCGAATCGAATTAATCGAATCGCATCGAATTTGAATGTGAATCGCATCGAATCGAATCGTTCTGAATTTGCACAAATCGTTCATGAATCGAATCGAAAACCTATGAATCGTGAATCGAATCGATTCGCTGTCTACCAAAGATTCACAGCCCTATTGATAATTGTTGCTTTTATGGGTTTTGAACGGTTTTGTAGCGTCGGGCGCGAGGAGGGAAGGCGCAATAACTATGTGTGTGTGTGTGTGTGTGTATGTGTAAGTTACGCTCAGCGCAGCTTCTAGGTCTCCAATGTAATTTTTTTTTTAAATATGTGAAATGTTTGTTGCTGTTATTGGAGTTGTCATAAAGAATAGAGCTTCTTGTAGTACTGCAGTGCTTTATCAATATGTTTATGTGCGTTATGCTAACAAACAATAACTGACTGGGTCTGTCGTCTGACCAATCACCGCCGATCAGCGTCACGCAAAGGAGTGGTTTGGAAAAATGAGTCTTTGTACGAATCATCTGGGAGTCGGTGAGCAAATCAGTTAGAAATAAATGCATATTGCAAGACAAATAAAGTGTTTTTCATCCTAAAACAAAAATAGGAACATTTCAAATGCTATGATAGGGGCTCTTTAAAAACAATAAGCTTGTGAATCTGCATGCTCCAATGATTTTTAGACAGAATGTGAAGGCCTTTACTATTTAACGATTGCAAAATCACTGTAACAAACATTGGTTTTATAAAATGCTGGCTGCAACAATATGATAAATGACGCCACTGTATAATAAATAATTTGATAAATAATTTCAAATAATTAATTTTAGTAACTAGATCAAAAATGTTAATCAAGAAAATGTTTTAAACTAGTTAAAAAGTTTTAAAGTAGTTTTGAAAGCTTGAGTTTAGTTGCTAAGAATAAGGAGAGCGTGGCATGAGAAGAGAGACATGAAACTAGCACGGCTTTGAAGGAAATCAGATGTTATTGTATAAAATGTTTTAAAGTTAAATCCATGATTGACCAAGCTGAATCAAATATGCAATAAACATTGAAAAAATTCTTTATAAATGACAAGAACCTGATTTCCAGCATCCCTTGGGGTCCAGTACATCTGCATCAGAGAGTAATGATTATGAGAAAACACCAGTGTAGACATCACCCTTCATTCACACAGCGGTTGTTTCTGCAGTATTTGCTGACTAGCAGAGTGATGGAAACTTCAAGCTGTGTAGGATAAACATTATTAATGCAGGAGGCAGGAGACGGAAAGCAGGGAAGAGAAACACACAAGCTCTGCTAGACCATGTCCAGGCGGCTCGCTGCGAGCATTAGATAAGGGCACATGTTTGCATCCTCACTGCCGGCCTCCTGCTGGAACGTCTCTTCTCTGTCTCCTCCTGTCCTCATGGTTTCTCCTCTCTCACTATTTGTCACTGATCAGATTCAGAAGAGGAAATGACAGGTGAAGATGATTGCCTGGTGCCCAGTGAGGAGGACTCATCTGATGAAGAACTGAAACAAATCATAGTTTCAGAAGAACAAAAGAATGTTTCCAATCCGTGTTCCACCACTACCCCTCCAACAGACCCTCATTTCTCTTTCCCAAGCCTCTCAAAGTCAGAGCACGGCAGCACAGAGCAAGTTCTGGTTACAGGATATTCACAGGTGAACCTGAGTTACCTTCAAAACTATTTAAAACAGTTAAAAGACTACAGTTCAAAAGGTTGTGGCTGGTAAGATATATGTAATTTTTGGTTGAAAGAAGTCTCTTATGAAATCTCATGTATATCTATGTACGTCTATCGGATTCAGTGTGAATTGGCCTTTAGAGAGAGAGTATGAGAACTATACAAATAATTCTGTTGTTCATATCGAATAGTTTTGCTGGAAACTATCGGATACCAAAGACTCAATCAATTAGATATTACTCCTGTGTATTGTAATTGCAAGCTGTGTGAGAGATAATAGCAATGAAAAGCACCAACTACTCTCATAGCCACTCAGCTGATGAGGGACGAGAGGAAACAGAGCCAAGTCTACTGCAAATGGACTATCAGAGTTTAATGGTGTAAAGGAAAGAGAGAGCAAAGAAAAATGTATTATAGTAAACACCTGAAATTAAATGTCTGATCAGAAAGTGTTTTTTTCACTGCTCTTTTGTCTGAAGACCAGAAAATTTGTTCTTAAATACCACCCGCTGATTCTTTTCTCCACTACCTAATTTTCCGTTGAAAGGACACTCACTGGGACTCAAAAACCCAAAAAATAGTTTCTCATTTTCTTTCAGTTTTCAGTTTGTGTGTGCGTGTGTATATATATATGCACACACACACACACACACACACACACAAACTGAAAACTGAAATCCAACAATGCGCAAGTGTACCTAGGACAAAGGCTGTTTTATACGCAAAGGGTGGTCTCAACAAATATTGATTTGATTTATTTAAAAGGAGCTGTATGTAAGAAATTTATTTCAAATAATCATAAAATGACCCTGATTTGTCACTAGACATTAAGAAATCATGTTCATTTCAAATACTTATATCACTGACAATAGTAGTCCAGCCAGGATATTGTCATTTAAAAAGTGAAGTTGCAGACCTCAACTGATGTTGTCGTGTTGTTTTTTGGTCTGATGCTCCACCCTCCACCTATCTACCAACAGTGTTGTGCAAGTTACTTCCAAACTGTAATACATTAGGTATTACTTGTTACTGTTATTTAAAAGTAATTCATTACCTTACAATATTACTGTCCCAGAATTGTAATGCGTTACATTACTCATGTATTACTTTTGAGTTACTTTCACCAAAATAACTAAGTAGAACTTAACTTTTGGGCTATAACGATATGCAATATGAAACCGAAATCGCGATTCGCCACACGACTCATATCCACGAACCTACAGAATCGCGACACACCTCTTCCAACTCCCAGCGTTATTCTCCTTACGTCCATATCCACTGCTGCCTTATCTTTAAATTAGGCTATTAGTATTATTTGAAGTTAATATTATAAAATATATTTTTTGTAATTCTGTTCATTACACTGCGCAAATCGGATGAGGAAGGGTTGGCTCTCCAGTCTCCATAGAACTTAAAATATTCATTTTATTTCAGTTTTTGTGTTCGTTTATGAGGAAAAAACAATGTTACAGACGCAACCGCTCTGAACTGGCACTAAAAGACTGCTTTAAAACTTTCACATAGTCTGTTGCCTTTAAGAAGTAAAAGCAGACAATGCACTGTAATACAACTGTAATACAAGCCTCACTGAACATGTAATGAGTAAAATATTACTGAAAATTGATTAGTAATGCCTTACACTACTGCGTTACAGCAAAAAGTAATATGTTACTGTAATGTATTACTTTTGTAATGCGTTACTCCCAACACTGTCTACCAATCACAAAGTCAGTAGTGTTGTAGCATTTGGGTTGCCAGCTGTACTCTAGTTACCACAGCTGCAAATACAAACGTGTGGGATAAAAAACATTTGGATCCTGCAGCCTATCTGGCAACCCCGAGTCAGGGGGGAGGGGGAGGGGATACACCGCTCTACAGTAATTTGAAAGTGATTGCAGTACCAGTTTTGGCCACAAGAAGTAAATTAATAAATCTGTTCCTGGTATTATTATTGAAAGCATCATCACTTTGCAGCATTTTTACACGTGCCTAAAACATTTCATAGTACTGCAGCTTTGGAGGTATGTTTCACGTCCCGTCGCCACATTTGCTTTGCCCCGCGGGGGCCCCCCGGCTCGGCTCCTCAGCGAAAACCTAAAGAATGCGTTGCACCTGCTGCTCATTATCTGTGCGTCACAATGCAGCGCAGCTGATGCAATTATCGCATACCAATGTGCATTGGCTTGTTTTAGGGGCTGTTCACACGACACCGTTTTCAGCTAAAAACTTTTTATGCGTTTTGGCCATTCGTTTACACGACAATGGCATTTTGGTTGCCTGAAAACACAAAATTTGGAAAACAGGTTTCAAAGTGCACGTTTTTGAGAACGGCGAATCTCTGAAGACGATGACGTCATTCACAGGCGTTTTATGTGTTCAGTCTATAGTGTTTCATCGCCATCTAATGGCCTGGCAGCAGAATACAGCGTTCTTAGTCGTTTTCATGGATCTGTGGAAATGCGTATTATTTTGACAATGACGTCGTCTGTATGCAGAAACATTTAAAGGAAAAAACGTCTCCGTTTGTATTGTTAAGCATATTGTTGCTGTGTAAACGTACCCTTAGTTACACTCAAAGTCGATTGGCCTCTCTTGCAAGATTCCTATTTGTCGGTCATCCGACGTGATGTCTCCGTTACGTCCTTCAGGGAACAAGGATAACATATGTAACCTAACGTTACATTAGGAATATAGCTGGTGAATTATGTATATGATGTATATTATGATGTTATGATGAACTGAATGGCTTTCTCCACTGACGTTCTATGCTGTTTGATAGCGTAGTCAAGCAAAAGGCTTTTCATATTAATTACCATTATGTGTCCGACATTGTAAAGAGTGATATCATTGTGATCTCTGAGCTGGTGTGGTTGGAGGTGGGACTAATTTGCATATTCATAGATCCACATATACTAAATAAAGCAAGGGTGTGGAGTTACATTCAAGCTATTTTAAGGCATTGAGGGTTTTTTTTCATAGGGAAAGATGTTCATTTTGTTAATCATATGAGTTTTAAGGGATACAATTATTGATAACGGGGATCATGCAGTGATTACCATCCAGATTGTTTTATGTATTTTAAGCCTCAGAAATATTAAATTAATTTTAATACAGAAATTGAAAACATTTAAAGTATTCTAGTCATTTTCGGTAGCAATTGCATTTTATACATAGCTGAATACATTAATAGATAAATAAGTAACACCATTAACCCATTTATGAGTAATGACTTTCTGACTAGTTTTCTTCCTTCCATTCTGTATTCCAGCGACAGCAAATCCAGTCAGGGCAATACCAAGATCTTGAAGGTTTCCTCACGCTGGGGCTGTACCCTGGAACCCAACAACACAGTCCAGCTCCAGCTCAACTCCCTAGAGAAGAGCAGAACTACATGGAGATTTCTCTCCGTATGTACAGAAAAAAACAAAAGCTCTGTTCTGGCAAAACAAAGCAAAGTATTGCTGATGATTTGAATGCAAGATACAGCCCTTTTAAAATGTGAAATTTTATAAACTTGGAGCTTCTCATTTTATGGAAGCTCTTGACATTTTTGTGCGCAGTACACATGAGACGGTTGGGTCGAGATGCCTCTACTCTTTATAGCATTTGTAGAGACACAAAACATTCGACCTTCGATAAGGTTCAGTATAGTCAAGTTTTACTGTGCAAACAGCACAAAATTCTGTATAAAGAAGAGCTGAACTCACATTAGATTAGCTCCTTTTTCACAGGAGCACAAGAGTACATTGAATATGAATTTTCAAAATGACAGCGCTCTCTCGAGTTAAGATGCCCCATGATCTGACCCAGACCAGTGATTAACAACTTCACACAGAAGTCTGAATCTTAAAAATATGCACTGATGTTCAATAGTTTGGGGCCGGTGCGGTGAGTCTCTTATTCTAACCAAGGCTTCATTTGAGGAAAAAATGCAACATCATTAATTGAACGCCTTCTTGCTGAATAATAATATTTATATTAAAATGATTTGAACAGTAGTGTAGACACTCCAAATCATGCTTCTAAAACAATACTTACTGCAAATCGAACACTAGGGGTCCTATCATACACCCGGCGCAGTGCAGCGCCAAGCACAACGCAAGTGTTGCTTGCTAATTTCAGTCCAGCGCAGTTTTCATTTTCACGTCCTGTGCCATGTTGTTTAAATAGCAAATGCATCTGCACCTATTTATGGGCTGCTGGTCTCAAAACGAGGTGTGTAAATGCGCATTGTTGGTGTGTTGCTATTTTGAGGCAACTGAAATAGACTGTGCCATTGACCAACAAAACAATCTGGCCTTAAGTCAGTGGTGGAATGTAACGAAGTACAAATACTTCGTTACTTTACTTAAGTACATTTTTCACGTATCTTTACTTTACTTAAGTACAATAAATAGTGCCTACTTTTTACTTTTACTTCGTTACATTTTGCAGCAATTATTATACTTTCTACTCCACTACATTTCTTTTTTTTTATTTTTTATTTTATTTAACAGTCAGACATACATACAAACAAACCAACATAGTGCAGTAGTGAGCAATCTTGTAAATCCATAATTCCAGCAGTGGCAAAAGTGATTTAATTGTTTGATCTAAGTGTGTAAGTGAGCGTGTATGAGCGTGGGTATGTGTATGCGTGTGTACACAAAGTAACCATTTATTATTTATTACCATTGTCATTACCATCACTCCCCACTACCACCATACTGCCCATATTGTTTTTGTAGATTTTTATTTCCATCCTTCCTCCTATGTAACAATTGCCATTGTCAATCCTGTACAAAATATGATAATATAATAATATAATATAAGACAACCTTCCCCCACATCTCATCAGTACCTATCTTTTCCTATTTTTTTTTTTTTTTTTTTTTTTTTTTTTTGTGTGTGTGTGTGTGTTATGTGCAATGTCTAAAGTGCATTAAAAGAGGGAGTACAGTGCGAGAATGTCTCAAATTGGGCCAGAGATGCTGTCCCGTTGAAACTACTTCTCGCCTGTCTTGCCTGCCTTGGTGTTTGCGATGTTTTTCCAAATATACTTATTCTTTTTTTTTCTTTTTTTTTTCCCTATTCTATGTTGTGGTGCATTAAAAACCCATGAAGAGATAAGGGGGAAGTTATTGCATTAGTGATGACAATGACGCTTAATTCTAGTTCTACATTCTAATTCTACAGCATTGACAATGGCAATATTGATGATAATAATAATAATAGTAATAATAATAATAATAATAATAAATGACAATGATGATGGCAGTGGTGATCACAACGGTGAGAGCAAAAGACAGCAACAACAGCAATTACAACAATGAAACAACAAAAAATAAAATAAAAGTGAAAATAGTAATCATAACAGTGACAGTAAAGATAGCAATAACAACTAGAATGTACATTTCCAGAGGAAAATGTGAAGTGGTGCTTGCAGTGGCAAAAAGCTCGCTCGGTTGCTAGAGTGTGGCACATTTTTGCATACGAGACACCAAACACGTCTGTACGATGTTTTTGTGATGATAAATGGTTTATTCAGCTGAGACATGTCTTATTCATGTGTTTGTAGGGTTACTAGGGTACTCTATATGGTTGCTATGGTGTGATTATACAGTTTATGAGTTAATATTTAAAGACTAGTTGACAGTCTGAGTCAAAAAAAGGCAAAATTCATGTTTCTTCTATTTTCTGGAGCTGAGATATGGCTTGTATATGTTGTTTTATGGTTGCTAGGCTCCCCTAAGTGGTTGCTAGGGCGTGAATATTAAGTTACTATGTCACTACTTGTTGGCTGCATGATAGGCCGAGTCAAATGAGCCCAACCCCATGTCTCTATGACCTTCTATTCAAAAGATATGATCTCACAAATTTGGTGCCAATGTTAAGTCTATGGGAGATTTTTCGGCCAATTTATCGCCCGCTAGACAAGCATCGTACACCCGATCTCTTAGAAAAGTCATAGCACACCTCTCCTTAACGAGCCGGTCGATTTGACACCTCATTCATGTGTCTGTGACAAAATATCCGGGAGGAGTAGCGTGCCAAAGTTTTGTCTTGGAGAATAGTATTCACAACACTAGAATGTACATTTCCAGAGGAAAATGTGAAGTGGTGCTTGCAGTGGCAAAAAGCTCGCTCGGTTGCTAGAGTGTGGCACATTTTTGCATACGAGACACCAAACACGTCTGTACGATGTTTTTGTGATGATAAATTGTTTATTCAGCTGAGAAATGGCTTATTCATGTGTTCAGGTGGTTACTAGGGTACTCTATATGGTTGCTATGGTGTGATTATACAGTGTATGAGATTATATTTAAACACTAGTTGACAGTCTAAATCAAAAAAAGGCAAAATCCATGTTTCTTCTATTTTCTGAAGCTGAGAAATGACTTGAATATGTTGATTTATGGTTGCTAGGCTGCCCTAAGTGGTTGCTAGGGCGTAAATATGAAGTTATTATGTCTCTACTTGTTGGCTGCATGATAGGCCGAGTAAAAAGAGCCCAACCCCAAGTCTCTATGACCTTCTGTTCAAAAGATATGATCTCACCAATTTTGTGCCAATGTTAAGTCTATGGGACTTTTTCTGTCCGATTTATCGCCCGCCAGACACACATCGTACAACCGATCGCTTAGAAAAGTCATAGCACACCTCTCCTCAATGACCGGGTCGATTTGACACCACATTCATGGATCTACGACAATAAATGCGGGAGGAGTAGCGTGCCAAAGTTTTGTCTTGGAGAATAGTATTCACAACACTAGAATGTACATTTCCAGAGGAAAATGTGAAGTGGTGCTTGCAGTGGCAAAAAGCTCGCTCGGTTGCTAGAGTGTGGCACATTTTTGCATACGAGACACCAAACACGTCTGTATGATGTTTTTGTGATGATAAATTGTTTATTCAGCGGAGACATGTCTTATTCATGTGTTTGTAGGGTTACTGGGTACCCTATATGGTTTGCTATGGTGTGATTATACAGTTTATGAGTTAATATTTAAAGACTAGTTGACAGTCTGAGTCAAAAAAGGCCAAAATCCATGTTTCTTCTATTTTCTGGAGCTGAGATATGGCTTGTATATGTTGTTTTATGGTTGCTAGGCTGCCCTAAGTGTTTGCTAGGGCATGAATATTAAGTTACTATGTCACTACTTGTTGGCTGTATGATAGGCCGAGTCAAATGAGCCCACCCCAAGTCTCTATGACCTTCTATTCAAAAGATATGATCTCACAAATTTGGTTCCAATGTTAAGTCATGGAGATTTTTTCGGCCGATTTATCGCCCGCTAGACAAGCATCGTACGCCCGATCTCTTAGAAAAGTCATAGCACACCTCTCCTTAACGAGCTGGTCGATTTGACACCTCATTCATGTGTCTGTGACAAAAAATGCGGGAGGAGTAGCGTGCCAAAGTTTTGTCTTGGAGAATAGTATTCACAACACTAGAATGTACATTTCCAGAGGAAAATGTGAAGTGGTGCTTGCAGTGGCAAAAAGCTCGCTCGGTTGCTAGAGTGTTGTACAGAATTGCATATGAGACAACAACCATGTCTGTACGATTTTCCGGTGCTGAGATGTGGCTTATTCATGTGTTTTTAGGGTTACTAGGGTACCCTATATGGTTGCTATGGTGTGATTATACAGTTTATGAGATGGTATTTAAAGACTAGTTGACAGTCTGAGTCAAAAAAGGCAAACTCCATGTTCCTACTATTTTCTGGAGCTGAGATATGTCTTGAATATGTTGTTTTATGGTTGCTAGGCTGCCCTAAGTGGTTGCTAGGGCGTAAATATGAAGTTATTATGTCTCTACTTGTTGGCTGCATGATAGGCCGAGTAAAAAGAGCCCAACCCCAAGTCTCTATGACCTTCTGTTCAAAAGATATGATCTCACCAATTTTGTGCCAATGTTAAGTCTATGGGACTTTTTCTGTCCGATTTATCGCCCGCCAGACAAACATCGTACAACCGATCGCTTAGAAAAGTCATAGCACACCTCTCCTCAATGACCGGGTCGATTTGACACCACATTCATGGATCTACGACAAAAAATACGGGAGGAGTAGCGTGCCAAAGTTTTGTCTTGGAGAATAGTATTCACAACACTAGAATGTACATTTCCAGAGGAAAATGTGAAGTGGTGCTTGCAGTGGCAAAAAGCTCGCTCGGTTGCTAGAGTGTGGCACATTTTTGCATACGAGACACCAAACACGTCTGTACGATGTTTTTGTGATGATAAATTGTTTATTCAGCTGAGAAATGGCTTATTCATGTGTTCAGGTGGATACTAGGGTACTCTATATGGTTGCTATGGTGTGATTATACAGTGTATGAGATTATATTTAAACACTAGTTGACAGTCTAAATCAAAAAAAGGCAAAATCCATGTTTCTTCTATTTTCTGAAGCTGAGAAATGAC